GAGAGAGAGAGAGAATTGGATCGTGGTATCCATCAGTTGGTGAGCTGCCATTGAAGAATGAAAAGTGACATGACATTCCCACCTTCCATTTTCTTATTTAACATATCTACCAATAGAAATAAGCGAGAGATTTCTATCGTGGGGATTATTTTTGTAGTGACTCCAATTATTGGTCTAGGTTGAGTCAGGATCAGTGAAGACCGTTATCAGCTTTTCTAATGCACTAGCGAAGAACACTTATTAGTGGTATTATATTAGAAATAGACCAAACCATTATCTTATTTATACATACATGTCCGATCACAAGTGCATTTGTCGTTACAAGCCTCATTCTCCCATCGTGAACTACTTACTTTCTTATATGGTTGCCATTGGCTTAGGCTCAATGAGTGCGAGAAGATAATTATTACCTTTAGCTTCATACTAATTTATCCGTGAGTTCAAAGTAGTAGTGTGATCCAACATGTTCAAACATGTCATCCTATAAACTGTTTTGGTTGATAAAAAAAAAAAGGTTGATTGAAATCCAAACATGATAGATCGATAAATATTTTGAATTTAATTGATATATATTATATAAATAAGAGGATGAATACTAGACTTTAATTGATAACCTACTTTGATATCATGATAAAACTTTTTTATATTGCTCGATTTATTAAAAATGATAAGGACTTGGCATGTTACGTACTTCATTCAAAAGGACGAGGCAAAGCTCATCGTAGAATCTAGACAACATCGATAGAGGGAGGCACTGATTCTTTAGGATCCTAATTATCAATAGATGCTAATAGTATGTATGTTCATCATCCTGCAAACTTTGTTCGTTAAAAAGGATGAACTATGGCTCCGATCGATGTGGAACCTAGACAACATCAATATAGGTTGGTAGTCATCGAATCTCGATTACTCGGTTGAAACAATCTTACCAATAAAATGTTTGATCAACCAGTTTATCAATTTGATGATTGTGCTTGGGAGGGGTAGGTCATGTTGTTGCAAAAGTTTCGGCTTTACTAGATTTAGTCCTCTCTTTTTGGACGAGCCATATCCCAGTCGTGCGACAAGACTACTACTACTACTGCTGCCCTTCTTCTTTTGCTTCGTTGGCATCATCATCATCACTAATTAGCCACCACAATGGCCCAATCCATGCCTCCTTCATGTAGTGCTTGCTCCAAAGCAAACCTTAAATTGCTCCCCACCTAATAATGATGGGGCCTTCTTCTGATAATGTATCACCATCTAACTAGTCATTGGCGCACAAAGACCTTAACATATGGCTGTTTGCTTTTGTAGATATGCTCGAGGGGTTGTGTTGGGATTGTGAGTGTGCATCACATGGAATTAGAAATATATGAAACTAGTAACATGCGTTAGAAGACTATGAACAACATATTGTAAAGATAATGCATTGGCATTTAAGGTATTTGGAAGTCAAATAAAATGAGAACACAATGTAACAAAGAAAAAAAAAGAGAGTATTTAGTTGTTAAAGAAAGAGAATTAATTTCATGAGATAATTGTTATGTTAAATGCTTAGACAACATGCAAAAAATATATATATCGTTGAGTGATCATGTACTATTATTTGAAAAAAATAAAAAAAATAATTTCATTCATGAACTATATAATTCGAATAAAGGCTAATATAAGTTAAGATAAGATGATATGAACATATTGCATGGAGAAGATCGATTAATGAAATAGTATTATCAATATGCAAAGAGATCAAATAAAAAACCTAAGAAGATTTTACTATTAGAAAGAGACTAGAATGATCTTGATTTACTTAGAGGTATGATAGGGCATTACAACTCTAGATGACCAATTGGTGTCGTATGTACATCATAAGGTTTGGATTGGCGTGCTTTGATAACTTGGAGTCGGCAAAGGGGTTGAAGGATAAGACTTGGACTGGGTCTTGTTTCTCAAAACCTAGAACAAAGAAGTTGGCCTCTTGACAACCAAGTCCATATAGTAGACAAGCTGCACTTGGAATACTCGCCTGGTTGCATACATATCAGTTGTTGCCATGATGCATTGGCATCATTGCATGCACAACCTAACCTCACTCTTCCTGCCAGACATTCCAACAAGTGAGTGTGAGACTTTATTATCTCAATTACATTGACTTCAAGGGACAAGAAAAACATAGATTGAGTTGAGAACATACCTACCTCATGCCTCACTATCCTCAACAAAGATGGTAAGGTGGCATATGTAAGAGTAATATGTTATGTTTAGTGTGAGGAATATTGATTCCGGACGAAGAACATCAAAGTAGAAATATTGATACCTCTCCATCTAATTCCAAAAAAATTAATCATTGGATAAATATTAAAAAAAGCTTTCACTGTATGAGCAAAAAAAAAAAAAAGCATTTGCTTATATTTTTCAAATAACTGTTTTAAGTCTTAGATATGCATAATTCTTTGATTATATCCCATAAAACCAGTTGTTAAGAATTATATATCAAAACTATCTTTTAAAGATAATATTAATATTGAATTGAGATGCAAGAACATCGGTTTCTTGATTGTTAGAGGTGGGAGCTAATTCGAATTCAAGTGGATCTTTTTATTGAGTCCGTTCATAAGCTAAACTTCATTGATTCTAACCCCTACAAAATTATGTTGAGGCGTTCTTGATAATGCCCCTCTGATACTTAAGTCAGCTAGTTGGACAAGTCAATTAATTTTATAGATTAAAAATTATCTCAAAACTATTACCACTTCGTGGTTGATGGGAAACATGGTGTGTTGATCTCCGGTGTAACTTCTGCTATTTCATATTGAATTTAAAAAATGATACATTTTTTATATGATGGTTGATTGAGTGATAAGGGATAATCGATTAGATAATAAGGATTGATGTGGAGGTGTCAGGCGCCTAAAGTTGATATGTCAACAATATGGTATTGAGGTGTTGGTCACTCGGTGCCAAAGTGTTAGTTATATAGCATGGAGGTGTCGACCATTTTGTAAGGGGGTGTCGACTATGTCATTCTACTTCTAATATATGCTCCCCCCCCCCCACCCACTTCTCAAACTAAACAATACAATGGAGTTAGGTTGAGAGATGTTTCGTAGGTTGACGACATTGCGGTTAGGAAGCGAGGTGTTCTCTCTGATATCATATGCTTAGGTGTCATGTGGGCTAATTTGATCTTGTGTATTGGCATTTGATAGGTTGACACAACCTAACACAATAACACTCGGTAGGCTAATATAGTCTCGTGTGGTGGCACACTTTATGAGTCGACATGGTCCAGTATGACGATGCTCGATGAGTTGACACAATCTTGTGCGATGACACCTAGTGGGCCAATACGACATCTTATGTTGCACTCAACCAAGATAGTCAAATCTTTGTTGACATATTATCAAATTTAAATATATATATATATATATATATATATATATATATATATATATATATATATATATATATATATATATAAGAATAATATGTTATGTGTAGTTTAAGTAATAATTTCTCTTCCTCCTAAATGTTAAAAATTTTTATTAGGATTTTCTCTCCATGTAATTTCTAAAAATAAGATCCATCATATTGATAAAACTTTCTCTATATGATCCAAGGAAAAACAAATAAACATTTGCTTGAAATATTTTTTAAAATAATTATTTAAAGTCTTTGAGCAAACACACAGATTCTTTGATTATATCTGACAAAAATCAAGTTGTTAAGAATCAGCTATCAAAGCTACCTTTTAAAGATAATATTGACTTCAAATAGAAGAACATTATGAGTCTTAGGTTTCTTAAATATAGATTTTCTTTAAACTCAATATCTTCTATGTTGAAATATATTAAGGCTATGAAACACCTTCTCTCTTTGGGACATTATTTTCTTACCATTGTAAATGACTATCTCATAGGTCAGCTTGTTTGGTGTGTCACAAATTTGAAACATAACACTTAGTTTTTTTGTTTTCTATTTAACTCAACGAAACTCAATATTTTTTATAAGTTAAAAATAATACAAAGTGACAATAGCCATTGATTACTCAAAAAATGGAATTATTCATCAAACAAGTTACAAGTTATCCCCCAACTCTGCGGCAAAATAAAGTAATAGAATTAGAGTTTGGTTTTTTCTTTATTAAATTGGTTTATGTCGGTTGTTCAAGAATAATCAGAGAATCATAACAACATATATCTGTTGAATCTCAGATTTTGATGATATAATCAATTGGTGGGTTAACTGATCTAATCCATATTATTGAGTTAAGTATGCAGGATTAACTACGATAACTAGAAAACATAAAGCAAGGATACTGGAGTCAAGTTCGATGGACGTTTAAGAGTCCGAAGAATCGTCGGAGATGCT